CACAAATACTTGTTGTAAAATGATTTCAATCCTCAATAAACAAGAAGAACAAGATCTTCTTATCGAGTTAATTAGCAAAATAGATGACCCTAAATTAAAGTCATTTTATTTAAAGAAACTTAATAAGTTAGGCTCTCCTGAATAAGCCAGTACTAGTCAACCCCAGGTGGCTCCAAAAATCTATCATAGCATAACCCTGGAAAGGTTTTATAAGGTTAATAAAGAAATTACGATCAAAGACCTACAAAGGGAAGTCAACAAAATTAAGGAAGAAATTAAGATCTTAAAATCAGAAATATAGAAATCCGCTCACATCTCAATAGTATCCAAACATAAGCATTCCTTAGCAATAATGATGAAGAACAAGATAGTTCTTCCTCCGACCAAGAATCAGAATCCAAGTCCATAGAAAACCCAACAGAAAACCTAGTTTTAGAATTACTGCAAAAAATTAGGATCCATAAATGGTATTCTAAAATAAAAATAATAATTGAAGACTTCCAGTTGGAAACAATTACCTTAATTGACTCAGGTGCAGACTTGAATTGTATTCAAGAATGTTTAATTCCCACTAAGTATTTTCATAAATCAACAGAAATTCTTAGTGCATCAAATTAGTCATCAATGCAGTTAAAATATAAAATCCCAAAAGCCCATGTTTGTCAAAACAATGTTTGTTTTAAAACCCCATTTGTTTTGATAAAAAAACATTTCAGACCCAGTCATTCTAGGACTCCCCTTCATAACTCTCCTATATCCTTTTAAGGTATACCATAATCTTATAACTACCAGAATGTTAGGAAAAATCACATTTCAATTCTGCACGGAAACAAATCTCAAACAATTAAGACAATTAGAAAAAGATAGTATCTCAAAAAACATCAATCTAGTCACCAAAAAATCACAACAAATTAATTTCTTAAAAGAAGAAATTAATCACAAAAGAATTGAAGAACAATTAACAAACAAATCTTTGTTACAAAGCATAAACAACTTTCAAAAGACACTTGTTAATGAAATTTGTTTGGATATTCCTAATACCTTTTGGCACAGGAAACAACACATTGTTAAACTTCCTTACAATAAGGAATTTAATGAAAAGAAAATACCAACAAAAGCCAAACCAATCCAAATGAGTCAAAAAGTAATGGAATTCAGCAAAACATAAATCCAAAAACTTCTCAATAAAGGAATCATTAGGAAAAGTAAATCACTCTGGTCTTATCCTACTTTCTATTTCCAAAAAAACGCTGAATTAGAAAGAGGAACTCCTAAGTTAGTCATTAATTACAAACCTCTTAATAAAGTCTTGGAATGGATACGGTATCCAATTCCTAACAAAAAAGATTTAATTAAGAGACTTAGTCAAGTTGTAGTCTTCTCAAAATTCAACATGAAGTTTGGATTTTAGCAGATTCAAATTCATGAGGATGATAAACACAAAATTGCGGCCATTATGAATGGAATGTAATGCCATTTGGTCTTAAGAATGCACCCAGTAAGTTTCAGAATATCATGAATGAAATATTTAATCAATACAGTCATTTCTCAATTGTTTATATTGACGTTGTTCTCATTTATTCCAAATCAATAGATAAGCATTGGAAACACTTAAATATGTTTGCTAGGATAATTAAGTCAAATGGATTAGTTGTCTCAGCAACCAAAATTAAGCTATTCCAAACCAAAATTAGATTTTTAGGATACAATATCCACCAGTCAACCAATTAACCAATAGATAGAATAATTCAATTTGCATATAAGTTCCCATATGAAATCACTGACAAAACCCAATTACAGAGATTTCTGGGATCTTTAAATTATGTTGTAAAATTTTATCCACATCTTACGCAACAATGCAAACTTTTGTTTGATCGTCTAAAAGAAAATCCTTCACCCTGGTCCAATACTCATACTTCCATTGTCAAACAAATTAAATCACATGTTAAAACTTTACCCTTTCTTGGCATTCCAACTCTCAGTTCATTCAAAATTGTTGAAACTGATGTCTCTTAAATTGGTTACGGATGTATTCTCAAACAGTCAATTTCTTCTGGATCTCCTGAACAAATTGTTCGTTTCCATTCAAGAGTATGGAATCCAGCACAAAGTAATTATAGTACTATTAAGAAAGAAATATTATCTATAGTATTATGTATTAGTAAATTTCAAGATGATTAATTAAATCAGAAGTCTGCAAAACATGTTTTACGAAAAGATGTTCAAAACATTGCGTCAAAACAGATTTTTGCATGATGGCAAGCTATATTAAATATTTTTTATTTTGAAATCAAATACATCAAAGGTATTCAAAATTGCATCCCTGATTTCCTAACCACAGAATTTCTGCAGGGGAAGAATGACAACAAGAAGACCTGATTAGAGGAGGCTTCCAGCCACTCTACCACCACCTCCACCAGTAAAACAAGAATCAACCCCACATTCTTCATCGGCCTTAGCCATTACCAACCCTTTCACTCCCTTAAGTTCCATAATAGGAAACCTTAGACCAAATTATCAGTCACACCTCCCAATTATCAAACGGCATTAGTCAATCAATATGATCCTTAATCAACCCAACATACCAATCGTCATCATCCCAACCAGTCAGTTATACCAAAACATCACCATACGTCAAGAAAAACCCAGTGAATATCTTTTCAGTATCCCTTTCAATCTCAATCAAGAACAAGCACTAGAAAAATTAGCCAAAACAGTTTTTCCACCCAATTTCCATTATCCTACAACACCACATAAAACACTAAAATACTATCAATTCATCCTCAGTGAAACCGAGTCCATTTCAATCAAACATCTCTATAGCAAAACCCATGAAAACAAAATCCTCTACCATTCTCTTTACATTGGAAGATTTTTAACCGAATCAGATTGAGGAATCCCCCTTTACAAAAACAAACCCCTTCACACCCAATATGTTCAAACTCCCAATAACCATTACAATTACTTTGATTACATTGATGCATGGACTAACATCTTTCTCCATCAAACAAAAGATTTTAGTCATTCGTGGTTCATTAATTTTGATAAGAGTTTCAGATTAAATTTTCCTGCATGGTTCCCTAAATGGTGGACAAATCACGGCCCAACAGCCAGTCTCCTACCAAAAGAGCTTATGTAGATCATCTCTGCTAGTTTCCAACAAAAATTTGACAGAAACCGATTCAACTACAGAATTACACTTCTCTTAATTTTCATAGCCAAATACAAAGTCTCATGGATCATGAAGTGGAATTATGAAGTCGAAACCAGTGAAGTCAACAGAATCAAATCAGTCAAGTGGTGGGATAAATTGTCAGGTCCTCACAGAATTTCCCATTACTCAATCTCCAGTAATTCTAGCACAACCATCTCTACCAGCCATCCCGGAACGGTTATTATCGGACATCTGTCCATCATCATCACTCAAAGGAACAGCCAAGTCATCCAAGTCAACTAGCTCAAAAAGCAAAGAAAAACCACCAAACTCAAAGACCTAGCTCAACAATTACTTGCAGAAGTATCGATGCTTCATATTGAAGAAGAAGAAGAAGCCTCAGACTCTGAATCTTCAGATGCATCCTCACAGTAACCAACCAACTCAGCAAGCCAAAACACACAGTTAGCCAAGTGGGTCGACTACCAGGATTCCCAAGACCCTTTTGCATAAAGCCATGTGAACACAGTTAATCACCATGTAAAAATTCAATCATCATGTCAAGTTACCATGTGAACACTATGACAATTAAAATGTGGAAATTCAGTCATCTTTCCAAAGTCACCATGTGAAGTTTTCAGACAAAATTTCATCCATAATTCCGACAAAGTAAGGAATCATTCAGTCACCTGCACATTCCACAATAAAAGTAGCAATCATTCCAACAAGACCACTATTCATCAACAGTAAAAGCAAGTCACAATCCATCACGTGCTTCCATAGTAAAGCAATCAATCATCCAATTCTCTTTTTCCAAGTCTATATAAAGAGGACTCAATGGGAGAAGACTTCAAGTTAATTTCTACATCTTTTTCCAATCAAAATTTTTCTGAGTTCACATTGTATTCAAAGAAAACCAAATTGTAAACAATTTAAATTCTCAAATGTCAAGGATGCATGCATGCACCAATATCTTTGTCACCAGTCAATTTCTTATTTGTTAACTCAATCGTCAGTAAATTAATTGTAAGTCACATTGTAAGTTTTGCAATAAAACTTATTTTCAAATTATAATTGCATCATTATTTTGAATTCATTATTTTCATTATGAATATTTTCATAACTACTAATTTTGAATGGCATAAAATTCTTACTCACAGTCAATTTATCGAATATCTCAAATTCAAGGTAAACACAGATGAATCAATCATTCGGTTCATTTATAATAGTTGGTTTCATGGTTTATTTAATCTTGACTATCCACCATATCAAATATCTAGGTCATCCAATTCACATGATTTGCATCATTATTGCCCTCATCATTACCATTAGTTCCGTGTGAATTTAGAAAATAAGACTACTATTATGGTCCAGCAATCAAATCTTATATGGGTTTGATTCGCGTAATCCACGGATCAGGATCCTCTCCTGAGCAGATTGAGAGGATCCTCCTGACTAGGCCCATCGGGCCGTTCATTTTTTATCCAACGGTTATAATTATTATAACTTTTAGAGGGACCCCCTATTTGTAACCGTTGGATAAAAAATAAACGATCCGATAGGCCTGGTCAGGAGGATCCTCTCCATCTGCTCAGGAGAGGATCCTGGTCCGTAATCCACTACCGTCCTTTAAAAAAAAATCTTCCAAACAAATGATACACGACAAAAAGTGATTCTTTTACAAGCACTTCCAAAAAAGTGATTGATTCCAATTTTTGTTCGTAGTCTCCACACGATACAACAGATCAGAGTCAGCAGCCCACAAGACGGCCCACCAAATTTTGGTCTGGTCCCCAATCCCTCTGTAACTGTACAAAGCGGCCCCGGTCTAAATAAAACCAAAACAAAATCTAATTAAAATCCAGGACAGCAACGGATTGCTTGCAATTGCTGCACTTGTTTTTTCTGTTGAGACTTTGACAGACCGACCACCGGCGGCGTATCAACCACCCGATTCCGATGACGCGACTTCCGATGAAGACGTCGTTTTCGTTCTCGTTCTCCTTCTTCTTCACGATGATGCTCTGGGCGCCGCTCTCTTATGGCTTTGTGAATCCCCGAACACTTCTTCAGCTGGAGAGCTCGTCGGGAAGCGGTGGCGGCAAGCACTTGACGAAGGAGGAGCTTTGGTTCGATCAGACACTCGACCACTTCTCGCCGTACGACCGCCGCAAATTCCCGCAGCGATACTACGAATTTCTCGACTACTTTAGACCTTCCGACGGACCCATTTTCCTCAAAATTTGCGGAGAATCCGCGTGTGGCGGCATCTCCACCGATTATCTGAGTGTAAGTCCTTGTTTTTCTTGAAATTTTTGTTGTAAAAGTTGTAAATTTGGAAGAAAAATCGAAAATTTTGGAGATTCTATTGAATTGTCTATGTGCAGGTGTTGGCTAAGAAGTTTGGGGCAGCTATCGTTTCTCCCGAGCATCGATACTATGGAAAGAGCTCTCCTTTCAAATCTTATACGACACAGAATTTGAAGTACTTGTCATCCAAGCAAGCGCTTTTCGATTTGGCGGCTTTTCGTGAGTTTTATCAGGCAAGAAATTGTTGAATTTGCTGCCTTGAATTAAAAAGTTTACCCAATTGAGCTTGGAATTTACTGGCTTTGTTGTTGTGATTGTTTAGAATTGGTTAAATGTGAAGCTGAATAGAACCAAGGGTGACAATCCATGGTTCGTGTTTGGTGTTTCTTACTCGGGAGCTCTTAGTGCGTGGTTTCGTGTTAAGTTTCCGCATTTGACATGTGGAAGTCTTGCAAGTTCTGCAGTTGTGGAAGCGATTTATGATTTCACTGAATTTGACCGGCAGGTGTGTGATCACTCTGTTAATTTGGCCTTTTTCACTTTTCCCTTCGGACGAGAATGAAATTGTAGTTTCTGTCTCTACTTTCAATCTTTTTTCGCTTTACTACAATCCCCTCCAAAATGCAGATTGGTGAGTCTGCAGGTCCACAATGTAAAGCTGCACTTCAAGAAACTACTCGTATCGTTGAACAAAGTCTTACAACTAATGGAAAAGCAATAAGGGCGTTGTTTGGTGCAAGCCAGGTTGGAATTTCACACTTTGCACCCACCATTTGTAAATCATGAGTAGTTCCCACCGGTGGGATTTTTTTTTTTTTTACTTGATGCATATTGACCCAAGTCTGTGTGCAGCTTGATATTGATGGTGACTTCATGTATCTTCTGGCTGATGCTGCTGTTATAGCGGTAAAAGTTACTTCTTTCTTAGTTTTGTCACTCCATTTTCAGTTTATCAAATTATTGATGTTTATTTGTTTGACACTTTGCAGTTTCAGTATGGAAATCCCGATAAATTATGTTCACCTCTTGTTCAAGCAAAGACGAATGGAGAGGATTTGGTGGTATGTTTCTCTTCTTTTCATTCCATTTGCTTCGTTAATTGAAGTAATCTTGGTCCACAGTTCTGTTCTATAATTATCCTCAGTACTAGAGTTTTTTTTTTGGTCAACATGTTTACAGTAATTGTAGTCTACCTTCCAGGTCTAAGTGAATCACCCGTTATGCACATATATCTCTGTGTTTTAACTTGTAAGAAGTGCCACTAATTCTGGTCCATGGGCTTTTAAGCTTCATGAAGTTGCCTTTGTTAATTTTCTGTAGTTGTCTAATGTTTCTAATCGAAGATAGTAATCTTCTTGCAGGAAGCGTATGCCAAATACGTTAAAGATTTTTACCTTGGTACTCTTGGCATTGACGTTGATACATATAACCAGAAACACTTGAAGAACACTGCTGTTAGTGAGGGCAGTTCTGATCGGTTGTGGTGGTTCCAAGTTTGTACTGAAGTTGCATATTTTCAGGTGGCGCCTGCAAATGATAGCATCAGGTCTTCAAAAGTCGACACAAGGTATTTTTCTGGAAATGTCTGTTTTATGATACTATTTTGTTTATTATTTCTACTTACCCTTTTCCTACAGACCTGTAGTTCAACTTTAGCTCTTGTATGCATCTCTGATTCGTAGTTTTTCATTGTCGCAGATACCATGAAGACCTTTGCAAAAATGTTTTTGGAGACGGCATCTATCCTGATGTTTTTGCAACAAACTTATACTATGGAGGCACAAAAATTGCAGGTAAAAACATTGATCGCTCTTTCCCTAATTATATGTTTTATCTTCCCCGGTTATATTATATTAATTTAAGTAGCATAATTTCTATTTACCATTTCATATTGGCTACTAACCTTACCCCATCTATCCCCGGAGACTGGTACTTACTAAGAGTATCTGTTTTACTAGTGCAGATATGGCATCGTTTGTTCATTTTTCATTTTTTTTCTACATTAAACCACATCAGTGTATCAAACGTTGGTTTACATGACCTTACGAAAAATGAATCTGCAGGTTCAAAAATAGTTTTTACAAATGGCTCACAGGATCCCTGGCGTCATGCATCCAAACAAACTTCATCTCCAGATAGTGAGTATCGCATTGCTTCGATGAGAAGTTTGATAAATGATATCCTATGCATTGATGTGAAAAATATTCAAACTATGTTGTTAGATCTTTCTAAATTCTCGTTTTTGTATAACTATCAGTGCCTTCGTACGTCATCTCTTGCCATAACTGTGGCCATGGAACTGATTTGAGAGGATGCCCTCAGTGGCCTTTAACCCTTGAAGGTATGTATCTGCAACCTTAGTGACGCATATTAGCTTCTGAGGAAAAGCTTCCTAATTTCAGTGGCCATCAGAAGTTTTCCATGTTTGTAAAGGGCTTTAAGTGTGTCCCTCAAATTAGTTGGATAGTTAGAATCCGAACAAGATTTTCATGGACGGCTGTGCTTGTTGATAAGTTTTTTGTGCTTGCTATCGTATTTAATTAGAATTTATGACTTGTGTTTCAGGCAATTCCCAGAACTGCAGCAACCCTGATGCAGTCAACAAAGTAAGGCAACAAATTGTTGAACACATTGACTTGTGGCTGTCGGAATGCCAAGAAACTGGTAGGAATTACATGTAATATATTTATCTGACGTAGGAACTATGTGTATAACTAATCTTAATCTCACTTTGTACCTTCTCAACAGATGTTTGATTATTAATCTATGACGGACATCCCCGTATGTACACAGATCATATTCTAGGTATACAGTTGTTCTCTTCGTCCTCGTGTACATAACAAGACAATCCATTGAAACATTCCAAGCACGTACGCTTTTTTTTCATATCGATGCTTTTGTTCATAATCCACATTTGGGTTCATTCAAAACTGCTTTGGTAATCCGTTGTATTGATCTTATGATGCTTATTTCATGTTGAATGGAGTTTCTTTTCCGAAAAAAAAAAAAGAAAAGGAAAATATGCGACATTTTATTTTTACATATTCAATGATTCGTAGTTTTACATTTTTGCCCATTTTGGCCTCTTTTTCCTTCTCATCTTGGTCCAACGAATCTAACAGTGTCGCTTTCATTGTTTTGGTCCATCCTCCTCCGTTCTATCGATCTCGACCGTCATACGTTTGAGGAAATTGACGAGGCCATGAAGAGCAACGTCAACGTATGAGCTCCTTAGCAACCCTGGTGAGGGCTGACCTCTGTTCTCTATCAACCCTTCAATTTCTCCAGAGGTAGTTGTCGTTACTGTCACGACGAACACCAAGGTTGTTAGCGGCTAAGATGTTGAACCCAGTCGGAGTGCAATGCGACATGTGAATGTGCACGTTCATTCGACCCGGACGCAACAATGCCGGGTCAAGATGGTCCTTGGTGGTTCGTGGTGAAGTTCAGTAGCCCTGAGAGTGTCAACTGCAATTGACTCATAAAAGATGCAAAAGAGTACTGAACTTTGTCGTTAGTCTGTTGATACGTCATTTGCTCCTCCTCGAATTGCCGCTTCTGCATTTCCAGACTGCAATCGATATCCTCCATCACCAAAGTCGCCGTAAATACTAGTGAGCTCCAAGTCACACACATCGAACTTGACATCATTTGTCATGGCCGCGATCAAGCTCGATTTTCCAGTGCCTGGAGGACCATCCAATAAGGGATGATCTTGGTCCGGTGGTAGAGCTCAGCGGCATCATAGACTTGGTTTCGGGACTTGCCAGAGTGCTCGTCGATGACAAGAGTGAGGTGGGAGGAGAGTAAGAGTGGACCAGGTGAGGGACGAGCTCGTTGGCCATGGAGTGGACGAGCATCGCGGAGGCTGCGAAGGAGGCGTCAGCAGAGAAGAGGTTGGATGCTGCGGTGGTGGGTGCCTCTTTGAGAGTAAACACTGTGGTCAACTCTATGACTTTTTAGTCTCTGTGTTGATTCTAAAAACTACTAAACATACATGTCGCACAAGCAGAATAGCTAATGAGTTAAATACGTCATTCGGTTGAATGCGAAGCATGCCAACTCGTTGATTGAACTCAGTTGATGAGTAAATCAATGTGGTGCTGGTGTCGAATGCGCTGATGACTTCTTTTATCTAAGCGATCATAACCTAGAAAAGTTTGGATGCGTCACTAGGCTGAAGGGAGAGATTTTAGGTCTCTTAAAAATTCCAATTCTCTGCCTTGACCAGTTGACCCTTGATATAATACTTTGTGCTCCATTTATATCGAAACGGAAATAATTGACTGATTAATAATAATTAACAAAAACAAAGAAACAAAAGGTCAATTGCTTAAACCGATCGGCTCCTTCGTCTACTTTTACACCCTTTCTCCGAGTGACATAAAATACCTCTCTTGTCCTACAATTTGCCAGATTTATCAGCACCGTCTCGATAAAGGAAACGTTTGTGCATGAGCTAAATCTCCGAGAAAATCGGTGGTTTCCACTCCAATAAAATTGAGGTGTGTTGCAAGAAGAGAAATTACTTCAGATATGTCGACGAGACCCAGAGTAGCACATAGCTTATCAATGACGTTGTCACCTCGAAACTCCTTGGGCCTTTCAGTAGTGGTGGAACCACAGACACCATCAAGAAGGTTCCCAAGAGCCATGACAAAGCAAATGATCCAGCACTGCACCAAAGCAAACACTTCAATCAAACCTTTTGCTCTATTGCCACATTTTCAGGTTTGGACGCAGGGACTCGAAACACGGACTTAAAATTTGGAGGGAAAACTTTGGTAGGGTTATTCAAGAGCGCTGATGGCCATAAAGTGTAATATAGAATAGTTTCAGTTGCCCTATATGGGGAAAATCAATACAGAGCTATACAAAATACGGTGATTAAACAGAAATTATCTACGTACCTGTAGAGAAAAGCTCGCAACTTGCTCTTAAGCCTGTCATATACAAAGTAAATGGTAGCCAACAAGGAAAGGGCTACTTGAAGGGTCGGACCTTCTTCGGTTGGAAAGAGAACAGTGAGAGCTGCAAGCACTACAAATGCAATTGACGTTTTTATAATGAATTTTGTGGACGGAGTTCGGAACCTATTTCTCACAGCCTGCACAACACGGGACTGATTGACTTCCCTGTACTTTTTCTTCAAGTCAATTTTTGGGTTCTTCCTGTCGTAGAACTGCTGCATGATTATTTTGTCATGGGCTGATTCAATTGCATCCACACTTGGTTTGTGACCTGCATACTGTCGGATAAGGAAGTTCCTTGCACCCTGAATCTCATCTTCTGAAGCCTCCCTGCTTATTCCAAGTCGTTTGTATGGGTCCCTCACATTAATCCTAGGAAAGATAGCTTTACTTGCAAAGGCAGTGAAGAAGAAAACAGTTCAGACAAATAAAGATGCTGATTCGTTACAATATCTAAAAGTGAATCAGGTCAATGGTAATTTATCAAATTAAGAGGGTTGAACAAAATACGTCTAACCTAACCAAGCTACTGGTGTTAAGACTCCTACAAATACACCTAACTGTTTTGGTTCAACTTGGTTACGAAGTTTAGACACGTCAAAGGCTGTAATCAAATGCACCAGCTGAACGGTTGTTGAGAATCCTTCGTGTTAAGTTCTACATTCCAATTTTCTTAGTTTTATGCAATAAGGACCAGTCTGTTCAAGCTTGAAGGAAGTTATACACAAGCACTCATACATATTCAACAACATCCAAAAGTAAATGACAATACAACGGCCCCCAGAAAAATAAGATGAAAATTACCAGTTGGTTCATTGGACATATCGCCGTAGGATGCATCCATGGCAAACTTGATCAGATGTGTTTTCCGCGCGCACAACCTTTGTGCAAAACCAGTCCAATAACTTCTGCTTGATTTTAGAAATAAAACAAATAAACAAACCAAGCTGGCAACCACACTACTTTATCTAATAACTCATACCGCCATAGCTGTACCTTTCCGCACAAAGTAGCTCGTTCTTTCCTGCAGGCTTCCAACTGTGAGGAAAATTCGAAACCTGCCCACATAGTGAACCAGAACTGCGTGCTGGAATTTGGAAGCAGCATCTGGAGGGACTACCAGCCAGTCCTGAAACGGAAGTCATATTCGGAGTACTCTCTGTCGAAACAAAGAAACAGAATCAAATATACCGCATCAAGAAAAATGGTTCATTTCTGGATAACCACTGAATCATTATAACTGACAATTTATGGAGATATTCCAGAGCACAAACCGAACAAGGCAATGCCTGCCCAAATCCCAATTTTCTTGACTTGTGATGGTTTTACCTGGAACTGAAATTTGCAGTAAATTCGAGAGAAGTTGACTTGTGGGTTTTTAACAACTGCAAAGTTAATCCATTTCTTTTGTTTTTATGAAGAAATTGGACTCACAGACTACGATAGTTCTGAGCCGGCAAAGAAACTTGAAGCAGAAAAAAGGGTGAAAAAATTTGAGAAAAAATTTAGCATACCTGATGGCGGATGGTGAAAGATGAAGGGGCTGGAGATGGCGGTGTTGATTGGATTTTGGCGGTGGACTGTGGCGGCAGCAACAGCGTCGTCGCCGTCTGCGGCGGATAGGAGAGAGACGCGGAGAGAGGAAAAGAGAAGGCTAAACAGGCTAAAACCCTCCTAATCCTTCCTCGCTGCCGAAAACCAAGGAAGGTGCTAGACTGCTAGTCGCTGCTGCTTTCTGTCGTTTGGCTTGTTGTACGCGTACAAAAACAATTATTAAACGAGAGAAAATCAAATCCGTTGTAGTCTGGTTGGTCAGGATATTCGGCTCTCACCCGAAAGACCCGGGTTCAAGTCCCGGCAACGGAATGTAGCTTTTTAACCCTCTTTTTCTTTTTGTTTTCTTTTTTTTAAGGGAGTTTATAAATGTAAAAGTAACAACTTCAGTCTCTTCCCCTCCTTTCCGACTTGCTCCTATGGAGCCCAGGTCCAAAAGATAAAGAAATCAGTTGTTCGTTGATGACATAGAATTCCTCAAAAAATTTAGATTTAGTCCCCTTTTCGACATTTAAGATAAACGAGGAAGAAACTCAAAATGGAAGAAGAGTTTTTATTCCTTTAAACCCCACACAATATGAAAGTCTCGAACATGGTTTTGAATGAGGAAGACACTCAAAACTAGTTCAAAAATAGCAGCTTCGGCTTCAGCATCGGCCGCTCAAACTTTCGTATATTCTGTGTCATCGGAAAGTCTGGTTGATTCAAACAATGGCAATTTTAATAGAATGGTTTTCCGGGAGCATTAAGCGTCCCGCAAATAGCTGTAAACCATCAAAAGAGTTCATTTACAAAGGCGTCGGGGCACCTGTAAATGAAATATTTGATATTATATTTTCATCAAGTACAAACTGATGCTGTCATTCCCAAATTATTAGCAAGCGGATTCTGTTACGAGAAATCTGTAGCTGTCGATGCATCTCGGACGTGCAGAACAAACTTCCATTTAAACAGTAACAGACAGAAGATACAGAATACTTACATGTTTTTTCAGTACCAGATTATTCTGTACAAACTTAACATATACAACTGTACAATTGTTGATCCCGGCCAAGCTGACATCTACAAACAGTATTTGCCGCTTTCACCAGCTGTTGAAGTGCCATCATCCAACTGCGGAAAGAGAACCAAAGCAGTGAACCAAGAAATACATTTCAACCGGCAGATGAAAGCAATTGACAAGCATTGTTGATGATCATCTCAAAGATGGGATATAACAATGCTTTTGTTTGCCCATGTGTACAAAAACATGATATTGCTAAAAGAGTACCTTATTTGCAATATAATCACGACGACTGGAAAAGAGTCACAGTGGCAATGTAACCATTCTTCATCACCTGTTGATTATCAACATAATATTTATTAGCAATCCCGTGCACAACCATAACACACAGGTGGAATAAACCCAACTTGGGCGATAAAATATCAACTTTAATTACAACATTGCACAACAAAGGAAGCTGGCATAAAATATCAACTTCAATTACAACATGCTTTTCCCTATTATTGCAAAGGGGGTAGAAAAAATAAGCAACGATGATTCAAGCATTCATCAACTCACCTCAAATGCAGCATTTTGATAACCATATACAAAAGTAGATCCAAACGGATTGCTTGTAGAACCTTGAGTCTGGATAGCAGCTCGGCCACAGTCCCCGAGGAATTCCTACAAAAAGTAATCTTTTGTTACTACCATTACCCCAATCAGGATCAACATACACCGAAAGGAATACACTTATGAAAGATGCTATCAATGAGAAAGTCGCCACTGTCGGAAAACAATGGAAAAAAGAACATATGTAACAGTTTGAGAAACGGCCAAGAGAAAGCTTACCTTCACTTGCTCCCACTTTGTGCTTGGTGTAATCCTATGTTTGCAGTTATTTACATCCTGATAAGAACCCCCTACTGCAAGGATGAATTAATGTTATATCAGTTTGTGAATTGTGTGAGTCACAGATCCAACTGGAAACTTTGAATCAGAAATAGACTTACAATCAGAAGCAAAGATGACAAAATTGCACTTTATGTACGAGTTGAAATCTGCATGGCCAGGATAGTTTGTATGCAAAACAAACTTCTTGATTTTATGAGTCTGGAGACAAACAAAAAGAAAAGTGGTCTGTGAACTTTCAAATACAAACATTACCATGGAAAGCATCATGATTGTACATTAACAACCAGAAATAAGTCAATACCTGCCCATCAAATAAAATGTCCAAACCACGGGTAAAGTAATTGTAGAAATAATCGCCACAAAGAGTTGTCCGTGGGCGCGTGTCCAAGCCAGAATGAATAACCATTTGGTCTACCTACAAAGCAAACAGAATCAACAATCATCAACGCGACAAAATGCAATGAGAAAAGCATACACTGCTTAGAAATGACATCAGCACTACCTGCTTTTGATGTATCCCACAAGGACGACCCAATTCAGTCCAAACATCCTGTAAAATAGGAAGGTATTAAACAGGAAAGACAACAGAGCAATGGTAGAAATGCCCAGCCATAAACAAAGACTAACTAGAACTTATTGCAGGAGAACAAAACTTGCCTGAGGTGATGCACCAAAAGGAATATTCTGACCACCAACAGTAAAGTATAACTCTTCCCCTAGCTGGATAAAATAAAAACTGAACTGAATTACATCCAAGAACTACAGTCGCCAATGTCAAACAACTTCACTGACAGAATTTACTTCAGTAACATAAGGGGCCAATAGTACACCACTAAGGAAGCAACAAAGCAAAAGCCTTTGATCCTTCTTCAAATCCTGATTTAAATTCTCCATGAAGCCCCTCATTCTAATAGAAAATAAACAAACCATACTGAAATGCTGCCGTGAAGATGGAGAAAGAAGTCCAACCTTAACATGCACCTCTTCCATATAGAGGCTGCCAACAGGTAATGGAGGAGCGGAAGCCTTATCCATTAAGGACCCCACACCAACTTTTTTATCTGTAGAACTATCGTATATGGAGACGCGGCACGTCACTGGTGTGGTTCCATCTGGAAACTCTAATGGTAATTCCGCTTTAATAATCAAAAGCAAATAAAGATAAAGTAATTAGTGCTTGCAAACTCTTTGAAGCAAGAAACCATTAAGTAAACACTGTCAGTAAAATACCTTCTCTATCATGGCAGCAATCTGTATACTGGCTTGGAATTGGAAAAGCAAAGGAAAGCCCCTACCATAGTCATGATTGGTAAATACATTAAACAGATTCCAACTTGTAAGATGAGTCATAAGTAGATAAAAATAAAGAAATATGAAGATCAAGTTAAATTTACTTACTGGGTAAAACAGAGTGTAGACACCTCTATCCTTGTCATAAATTCCAGGGAAAGTTGGCCCAAATAGTGCATATACAGCTACAAAAGTTGCTAGAGTGGATGGTCCCCTGAAAGTAGAGACAAAATCCAATAGTATACCCCATTGTATATAATAGAAAGTCTCAATTAAAGTAACTCACCCAATCAAAGAAGTGGCATAGCGCATTTGAAGCCGTTTTATATCAAATATTTCAACAAGGCGTAGCCTCTGCACCAAAATTTCAAATCAGCCAGCCATATCATAACAGGAGTTAGTTATAGATATTACAACTTAACAGTAATAGCAATCCATGTACAAATTCACCTGCCATTTTAAATAGGACAGCCCAGATACGACAATCAAAAGCATAGCCGTGTAACACACTAAAGAGAACAATAGCTGAAGACAATGGCTATCTGCCAGTGTTTCATAGACTACCCATGGCATTCCGCTCTTACATCCCACAGACATTTTCTTCTTTTGTACCAAATACCAATTAAGGTAACTTTCAACACAGAATATTAGCTACTACAACCATTACTCTAACAGAATCCGGTCAAGTATTTGTGGATTTTCTTTAAATAGTAACAATTTTAATTGATGAGTAAATACCACAAGCCACAGTTACATGACCAATACGTAATAGCTGCATCATCCTCGGGGTCATACATTTATGCGGAGTCGGAGCAAACAAAACATCGCAACGTATGTAAAAACAAATTTTTGATACGCAATGAAACAAGGCGCGTGCACCAAAGAGAACATATTAGGCGTATGCAAAAACAAACCTGTGACCAAGGATCAAAGCGAAGATGAAAACCATGATCTGGAAAGCTGATAACGATATCCAACTTAAGGGGCTCCTGCATGGGAGAAGAACGGTGATAGGCCCTTGTTACAACTTAAGGATATTTCAGTACATGTACTTTACGAATCATTTAGCCATTTCTTTCATTCCGTGAAACATGTACATATGTCCAAGATTAAAAAACAAAAATAGGAAATCCTACCAAATATGCGTCTACGTTATACTACACAAGCCATAATGATATACAACTTAGTAAACTGATCCAACCTCATCATAATACTTCACATGGACAACGTCGTAAATGTTAGGCTCCTGTTCTATCTGAGCAAATGCTTCGCATATCGGCATTCCTGTAACAAACATTTCAATCAATGTTTCAACTCCAAAAATTCGCCAAGCTGCTGTTCTAACACCAACGAATTTATTTCAAAAACGAACACATGCAAAATCAAATCATCATATCCAATCTCTACACCATCAACTTGACTCTAAAAATCCCAAAAAAAAAAAACTCCTCAAATTTAACCAAGATTTAACCTACACAGTTATCAAACAGCTGATCAATATGGTAAAGTGTAAATTTTTACAGAGATGAATCGCTCGCAAATAACTCAATTCAAACTTCAATTTCACAAATAATTCTTACTCTTAGGTCGAAGAAATGAACAATTTCGAATCAGTTCTACAATTATCAAGGAAAAATTGAGAAATTAACTGGCGATTACCGATGGTGAAGGGTCCGATTCCGAGGCCGGGTCGTAGATCGAGGACGATGGCGCCCATGGCGGTGCCTTCGCAGCGGCGTCGAGGTCTCTGCAACATAACTACTGGTTCGAGAAGATGACGGGATTAGGCGACGATGATGGACTCCGTTACTTTCGCGAAAGGAACCGCACAGGTGTTGAATGCTTAAATACGCAAAAAACGCTTCGATGTGAATGCTTTGCCTCGCTGCGTACGAAACGTCCCCGCTCAGCATTATTGGGCCCACTATCTCTG